TGAGGTTTCATTTGGAGCACTGTCTTTGTAAATTAATGCATCACATCATACTTAATAGTTTTGGTGTGTTTTTCAGTGAAAGCAATCGAAAATATTTACTAACGTGTAATGCAAATGTCTTCCTAACTCAAAATTCCAACTATATAAAAACACTTACAACTGTTTTAGAATTTTAAACTGGGCTTATTTTAGGCAAATTTCATTAATAATACTAATAAAGTTTTTTCATATAAATAGCAAAAAAATAAAATATTACCTGAACATTAAAACCCACACTCTGAACTTTAAAAAAAAAAATTGAGAAAAGGGTAAATATATTTAGTTTTTACAGAATGATATTTTGTGATTTTCACCTTTATGTTAGTTTTTGGATTTAAAATTATTTTACTAATATTTGAAAGTAATCCTCTTTATCTTATTATATAGGGATATACATCTGATTAATTTGTTCATTAACAAACATTTTATGCTGTAACTAAATTATCAGTTTTTATTCCAAAATCGTTTATTCCACCAATTCTCTAAGAAAATAATTATCTGTTATTTTTAAATAAAATAGAATGAACATTTTATTGATTCTGTACCAAATTATTATTTTTTAATTATTTTGATGAATATTGAGTAGGATGTATTTATTCCTTACCATTCACGGGCTAAACGAAATCATAAAATTTATAATGAAAATTTGGAAGAAAAGAACGTGTACCGAAATATGATCTCAATTGTAATGCCATTTGGACTATTTAACGCGCCAAACACCTTTCAGTCACTGATGAAAGAGGTATTTCGTGAGTACTTACGCAAGTTCGTCCTTGTCTTCTTTGACGACATCCTTGTGATTAGTAAGACGGCTCAAGTTTTGAGATATTTGTCAAGAATATTACAATGACTATGTATGTGAACTCATTACCTCTGGACAGAAAACCACGTCTTCACTCATAAACGTCTAAATTATACAATGTTATTGATATACAATTTCGAGCTCATTATCATATATATTATTAATGATAAATAGTATATGGTTAATATATATTATACCTTGTGCAACTTAACCAATTTAAATTTATAAAAAAAATTATTTTATTTTCAATATATAACAATTTCGGTTTAATTATTGATTATTTTATTTTTAATTATTATTATTTTTGGTTTATTGTAGAAAGATCTTTTACAGGAATTTTTATCAATTTGTAACAAAGAAAAGTCTAGTTATAGTTACGTTAATAATTGCCTTTATTTATTGCTATCGTATTAACACATTAGATAACGTCACCGAAACTGCTATCTTAGAAGGGGTATCTATGATGGCTGCCGATTACATGGCAGATGGTAAAACACTATGAAAGACCTACTATAGCGTTAATCGTGAGCTAAGAATGTTAATATTTCTTGTATTGTAGAAAGAAGTGAATGCTTAAGATGATAGACATCTTGATTGTTATCAGCTGTTATGAATGATGAATGTAAAGTAAGAACCATTGGTATCTAACGTGGAAGATAAGATGAATATGAATGAGATGTCATTTGGTTTCAGTGTTTGAGAATGTGAATGTTATGTGTATTGTGTCAGACACAGATAACGGGTGACGTCTGGAGTTGAGTATGAGTCTAAGAATGTGCGAATGAGTTAAAGTTAACTGAGAACGAGGATCAAAATGAGTTAAAGTGATAAGAATGATAATGAGTATGAGAACGAGAATGAGAATGAGGATGAGAATGAGTGAATGAGAATGTGGTCGTGTCAATGAACTTGTTTGAAGTCTTGTTTGGACCACCGGGAACGAGTGGGTGTCTAGAGTCTAGGATGTGGAACCTGTGGGACAGTAACCTAACAAGAAGTACCCGAAGGGGCCCACGGGACAGTAGCCTAACACGAGGTACCCGTGGGAGAGACCTCTGGGAGGGACCTGCGGGATAAAATAAGTATAGCCGCCTTAGGATCGAGTCAATACTGAGTCGTGGTATAATTATGGCTATTAATACCGGGTGATAGACAGAGCTGGTAAATATAATATAAATCTTGCATCGTGACTGGATCTGATTCATCCCATTCAGGTTCTCATTCCTCCTTGTGTCTCTGCAGATAGAGGTTTGATGAGAGATGAAGGCAGCTAAAAGGTGGAGCGTAAGAAACCTAGCGTCATTACCTGGAGCTCGCCACCGTGTTCCAACAAGAAGACGACTATGGATCATCATGGCGCTTTCACTGATCATCATGACGCTTTCACTGATCACAATGTTGGCTATAATGGCTTACATGTACCCTCAAAACAGAAAACGTGCTTGTTATATGGTTTCTTCAAGGGGATGCAAGGCTTTATCTGACTGGCTTCCACCTCTTCCAAGGGAGTATTCAGATGATGAGATTGCTGCAAGAGTAGTGATTAGAGAAATAATGAGTAATGTTCCTGTTATAAGAAGGGATCCCAAGATAGCATTCATGTTCTTGACGCCTGGTCCATTGCCTTTTGAGAGGCTTTGGGAAAGATTTTTCCAGGTACATTTTTGTTCTAAAAAACAAATTTATTCTTCAGAAACGCTGTCAGCTTCCTTTGGTAATTGTGACACTTGAATTTATTAATGTGCAGTGGTTCACCATGAAGAGACAACATGCTGTAGTAATCA